AGGACTTTGTGGACTGGTGTTGGGTTAATGGGTTAATGTTGGACTTGAGGGCTTGGGCAGCATTGGGTTGAGGTGTTTTCGTGATGCACATTTTCTTTGCATAAAACTCTCTCTTATACGTGAATTGGTGTGGATTTGTTTCTCCAAAGTACCTAGACTAATACAGTTCCCAAGACTGAAACCGTTTACAGGAACAGAAAGCCGTCTTTCTCCTGAAGAACTGCCGGTAGGTTTGAACTGCTGACCACAGCCATTCACCCCACTAGAGCTCCTTGCTATTAAGGATAGAGTGGAACCATTAGTGGTGAAACTGAACATGGGCTGTGGATTAGAGAGCAATATTGCCTCGGTGGTAACTGTCCTGATTTTGATCATTGTACTGTGGTTATGTAAGATAGTATCTTGTTCTTCGGATACATTACATGCATTAGAGTATTTTTAGGTCAAGGGGCAAGACATCTCCAAGTTAATCTCAAATGGCTCAGAAGAACACACACACACACACACACACACACACACACACACACACACACAGAGGGGGAGAGAGAGAGAGTGTGTGTAAGAGAGAGAGATTAAGAATGACAAAGCAAATAGAGCAAATGTTCGTTATGATTTTGGACCATTTCTCAGCTTTTCTCTAAGTTTGAAATTCTGACAAAACAAACAGGAACAGAAGCCAAGAGGCGGGGGTGACATATTGTGGGCTTCGTTGGGGCTCAACTGGTATAAATGATGATAGTTCTTGGCTATCGGAGTCCCTGGGTTGAGCAAATGGTTCAAGTGTCCGGCTGCTAACTGAAAGGTTGGAAGTTCCCGTCCATCCGGGGATGCCTCAAAAGAAAACCCTGGTGACCTCCTTCTGGAAACGCATGGCCACTGGAAACCCTACAGAGCACAGTCCTACTCTAGAACACACAGGGTCCTCAGACCTGGGACTGACTTGATGGCAAGTGGTTGACCGTAGTCAGCGGATGATGGTGATGGGGGATGTGGGTACGTTTACAGCCCCAGCCTACAACTGACAGATATCCTCGGTTTCCTTTCTTCATCCACCAGCAGGGCCCACTGAGCTCTGAAGACAGCCATAGCCTGAGAGGAAGAGCATGTGCCCCGTGCTGGTCCCATCCCTCCACGTCCCCTAGTCTCCATCAGCTGCCAGCCAGCCAGCCAGTGCCGCCTGTCCTGGAGGCTGTCAGGGCTATGGGAGGATGCTTGGGTGCCACGCTTACCTTCCTCTTGCTGCCATCCAGCCCAGCAAACTCAATTGTCTTCATGCCAGCATCTGCCCAGTACAGCCGCTGGGACCCGTAGTCAATGGCCAGGCCATTCGGCCAGGTCAGGTTAGACGAGATGATGACCTGGCGGCCAGAGGCATCCATGCCAGCGCGCTCAATCTTGGGACTGGCCCCCCAGTCCGTCCAGTACATGTACCTAGGCATAGATAGGGGAGGTTGTACACCTTCCAGTTACCACGCAGTGGGGACTCACGGTACCCCGGGTCTCCGGGTTCCTGTCTGCAATGGTGCCCTAGCTTCCTGCTTCGGCTTCCATCCTCATCCTGGGCTCAGGGCTTTCTCAGAAGGTCGTACACCTCCTATCCCCATCACCAGGCACTCGAGGGTCTGAGAAAGGCAGAGCCCACTGACGACAGGGTGCTCAGCACGGAAGGCCAGCAGGGGGAATGAAGAAAGAAGACAAATGAAGGCAGAGGAGAAGAAATGTTTCCTTGCCTGGATGCACTAAATCATGACAGCACATACATGGAACAGATCATAGAATTTTGAAAGGGGGCCAGGAAAAAAAAATCACACCCAAACCCACTGCCACTGATCCAACGTTGACCCTGTCCAGCAGAGCAGAACTGCGCCCGGGGTTTCTGGGACTGTAAACCTTGACGGAGCAGACAGCTGCGTCTTTCTCCCTGGTGGTTGGTTGATGTGCTTGAACCAACAACCTCAAGGGTAGCAGACCAATGCTTAACCCAGGGTGCCACCAGGGTTCTCACAAAGGGCCCCATACCCCTGCCATCGAATAGATGCCTCCTCATGGGAACCCTTACAGACAGATGAGCACCATCCCTTAGGATTTCTGAGGTGATAAACCACTATAGGAACAGGCCGTCTCGGCTTTATCTTGTGTAAAAAGGACAACCTACATCCCCCGCCTCCCCTCCAAAAATCACTGCCATCAAAGCCATTCTGACTCAGAGCGACCCTCTGTCCCTTGTGGGGTTTCTGAGACTACGGGAACAGGCAGTCTCTTCTCGCTCTCTCGGAGAGACTGGCGGGCTGGAACTGCCATCCTGGAGGTAGGTGGATCAAAATCAGAAAACAGATTTTAAAAAATCAGAGGAGTGTGGTGACACACAAAAACTAAAGACACACGGCAAGCTAGGATGCCACTTTGCTATAAATCAAAACCACGACCAACATGTGCACTATGTCCACCGAAGGGCAACTTGGGCAGATGTCCCTCGGGCGCTCACAGTGGTTCTTACTGCACAGTGAGAGGAAGAAAGGGGAGGGGCTCACTTTCCCCAAGTTTTTTTTTCTTTCCCCCAAACGATGAGTTTTTTCACAAAGCCAAAAAAAAAAAAGAAAAACCCACTTGAAAAGGTCTCTTTGTCCCCAGAGGAAACGTGGCCTCCGTTCTCTGGGGTTGCTACAGCTGCCCTTGCTTCCCCGGGGTGCCTTCCAGGTCGGCCCCGTCTCCCTGACACCCAGGCTCAGTCGTACTCAGGCTTGGGCTTGTCTGAGGGGCAGGCACTCACCCGCCCATGGGTTCCACCACAATGTCCCGGGGGCGATCCAGGTTCTCCCAGATGAGCACCGTCCTCATGCTGCCGTCCGTGTTGGACACCTCAATGCGGTCGGTACCTACCAAGGAGGAGGAGAGGAGGGCCAAGATGCTCACTCCGGGCTTGGCCATTCACCCTCTTGTCCTCCAGGCCCAGCGTGCTAGAGATGTCCAAGGGCTATGCTGTGGCCGGGGTGCAACGGGGACTAAGTAAAGTGACTGTGAGAAGTGATGAGTGTCATTTCTTAGAAGAGCAAGGCTTCTGGGACCAGTCCCTTGAGACACTGTCTCTCCCGTGTAACACACAGAAGATTCAGAAGAGCTTGTTACATGTGGTAGTTATATAATCTCTTGTCAATTTAAGGCTGAAGAGTGAAGGGGTGGAGTATAGCCTGTCAATCAGGTCGTACGCAGCTTGTAAACCTCATCTGGAGGCGCTAAGGAGATAAATAGCTTGTTGGAGGCGGGACACTGGCTCACTCCCGGAGACACTCTCTACTGACAAGACACATGAATCTATGCTGATGGCAGCGAGAGCCCTGGACCTGGAGGAGCCACAAGGAGACCCATGCCGGCGCTGAGATGCTTCCACTGTCACTGGATCCACAAGACTATCCACCCACTGGCCTGTGATCTTCCTGCATTCAGCATCATTGCATGTGTTGCGTGAGCCTGAAGAGGAATTTGTAGCTAGGTATCGAACATATGGGCTTGATCTGGACTGGGCTGGGAGGTTTCTCAATACTCGATTGCTCTTGTATCTAAATCTCTTATACACATGTGAGTGTGTCTATGAATTTGTTTCTCTAGTCAACCCGAATCAACCCATTATGATACAGATTCCTGAACCGGACTCCCAAGGGCTCTGATTCAGTCGTTCTTGAGGAGGTCTCTAGAATCTGTAGTTCAGACACGTTCCCAGGAGATACTGTGCTCGGAGCAGCACCACCCCCACACCCATCTAGCTGATGGAAGATGCTGTTGTAGGCAGATTGTGATGGAGGGAAAACCACAGGGCTTCCTCATAAGGGTTCCTCATGTGAAATGTCACAAAGTGTCCCCAAGCAGAGGAAGGGCTGGGGAGGGAGGGGGGAAAAATGAGGAGCTGATACCAAAGGCTCAAGTAGAAAGAAAGTGCTTTGAAAGTGATGATGGCAACCTATGTACAAAAAATGTGATTGACATGACGGATGGATATATGGATTGTGATAAGAGCTGTACGAGCCCTCAATAAAATGATTTTTTTAAAAAAGTCCCCACACATCAGCTCCGTAGCTGCCATTTGATGGGCAAACACCCATCAAGTACGAGTTTCTGACTTCAGCTCCGCGGTCGCCACCCCTGGCCCCCCAAGGACTTCAGGCCGTGACAGAAGCAGTCCACAGAAGGACTCTGAGTCCAGTCTCCCGGAGGCCAAGGTTTTCAGTCAAAAGAATCCCAGAGCCCCAGGACCAAGGAACGGCAGTGGCCGTGGCTGCCCGCACATACCTGCATCTGTCCAGTACAGCTTATTGGTGACCCAATCGATGGCCAGGCCCGCGGGACTGTCCAAGCTGGTGTCCACCACCACCTGGGAAGGAAGCAAAGCTCTGTCACCAACTTGACTCTGACCCAGCTCTGGAGCCCCAACCCAGCCACTTCCCAAGGTGTGAAGGCACAGGAAGCTCTCCCCCTGAAGAGAGTACATTGCCCCCCGGCGATGTCTGCCCTCCCCAGGGGGCTGGCTGGGCCCACACTGGGCCCTACCTCCTGTCCCGTTCCATCCCACTTGGCCCTGCTGATGGTGTCAGTGCTGACATCTGTCCAGTACACGTGGTCATCCCGGGAGTCCCAGTCAAGGGCCACAGCACTGCGCACGTCAGCCAGTGGGATGACGTCGTCAGACAGGTCCTCGGTGTCGAAGCTGATCCGACGGATGTCCATCCTTCGGGCAAAAAGCAGGAACTTGTCAAGACCTGATCAAAGGCCGAAAGGGGTCTTCTTTTAATGCTCTCCATCCAGGAACCGTGACAGACACAGACGCTCACCTGCGTGACATCTGGCTCAATCACACTTCCTGGGTTCTGGTGCCCTTTGCCCCCTAGTCTTCACACCTCAGGCTCACTGGGAGCACTGGACCACCCACCCTGGCAGAATCAGACTTGGGGATCGAACGGCAAGGGGCTCTATCCAGGGCCCAGAAGGGGACCTGTTTCAGCGTCTATTAGCGCTCACGTCAACGTTTCTCTCCTCTGACTTCCTTCATTTTCCTCCTCGCCTCCAGTAGGCCACTGCCCTGCCCACCTCCCTCTCCTCTGACTGCTCAGACTGCTTTCAGGTGCAGCTGTTCCACTCGCCATCGAGGCCCCTCCCTCCTACACCTCTCTGTACAGGAAGCAACAAGGACTATTAATCGAGCACTTCCTCCACACCAGGCCCCAAGCTTGGTGTTTTTCCTGCCTGTCCTCATTAACCTCCCCCCCATCCTTTGCGGCACATCACACTTCTGACTCCCGCAATCCTGAGGGTACCCGAGGACCAGGTGCGTTGCCCAGGATCACATGACCACAGAACTCAGCCTGTCTGACTTGAGAACCGTATCTGGGGCCACTTCCCCTAGAGTTCCTTCCGGCTTCTCCTCCGGCTCTGCCCCTAGCCTGGTCTGAGTACGTCCCCACGAGACTATTCTGTCTCACTTGACCAGCTGTCTTCTTCCAAGCGCTGGGAAACCTTTAAAGGGAAGTTGCTGGGAAAACCCCTTCCTGTGCCCGCACCAAGGCCATATGGGAAGAGCTGGGCACAAAAGAACACCAGGGGGAAACTCGGGGCAGGAAAGGAGAAAAAGGTTCAATCTGTGGTGACAGAACACTGCGCCTGTTTCCTCCGAATGCTTCCCTGCACCTCACTCTCCGGGAAGAACCCAGATCCAAGTGGATGAGAGTCTAACCAGGCGTAAGCAGGTCACGCTGCAGGTGAGGACAACCAGTTACCCCAAGCTCCTCACGGGTCCGACCACAGGCCTCTCTCTGAACTATGCTTAGGAACCGTCAACCGTTACTCTGAGCTAGACGGAGCCACCCTTGCAAGGCAAGGACCTTGTAGGCCCCCAAGGAGGTCCAGGCAGCAGGTCAGGGAGAGCCCAGGCCACTGGCCCACGTGACGGGGGTGGAGGGTGGGGATCCCATTGTCTTCCACTTGATATGTAGCCAATAGCAACAAGTGCCCCCCCCGGGGTGGCTCAAGTTTGTGACTGGCTGTTCACCTCCAGGTGGGTGGTTGAAACCCACCCAGTGGCTCTTCAGAAGAAAAAAGGCCTGGGGATCCTCTTTTGTCAAGATTTCAGCCAGGAAGCCCCTATGGTGCCCGCCGGCTCTGCCACACGGGGGCACGAGTCAGAGTCAACTTGCGGGCAGCGCATTTCTCCCCCTATGTGCACGGGGCAGCCTCTAGGACCCTCCTGGATGAGGGGCTGAAAGCGAGGGATCCTGAGGGGAGGTGAAAGGTCTGCCCCCAGCCTCAGCTCCCATGCTTTTTAGAAGGGCCTGGCACCCTCCTGCTGCCCTGCCTCCTGAGATGAGAAGGAGCCCTGGAGGTGGAGTGGATGGTACACTGGGCTGCTATTGTGCCAACTCCACTGTGCTAACCCACAAGGTCAGCCGTTCAGAATCACCAGCTGCCCCAAGGGAGAAAGAGGAGGCTTTCGATTCCCGTAAAAGGGTTCGTAGAAACCCAGAGGGGCAGTTCTACCCTTCTCCAGAGTCACGATGCCTGGGCATCGCCTCGATGGCACCGAGTGTGTCTTTGGAGTGAGAGGAGATACTGACAAACTCCAAGGGGTGGTGCCACCACTGAGCCTTCCGCTTGGATAGAGGAGTCCCCAGCTTCTGCCGATCTCCCTCTCCAGGAGCCTGGTGCCTCCCCACACGATGTAATCCCTCCAACGCCCACCCCTTGCTCTTCCTTCCCTCCCCCACAAGGCCCCTGCACCGAGGCTGGAGGCCCAGGCTCACTTACTCTGGGCACAGGCGTGGCTGCTCATCTTGCGGAAACCGGTGGGGCAGGCACAGGTGTAGTTCTGGCCTCTGGGTAGACACAGGTGAGTGCAGCCTCCGTTGTCATCCCCACATCGGTTCTTCCCTGCTCAATGAGCCCAAAGCAAGAGGGCCAGGTCAGAGGCAGGTTTGCAGAGGCGGTCCCAAGGTTCGGGAGCTGGGGTTTCACTACAGAGGGAGGGGCCTAAAAAGAAGCCCTGGTGGCCCTGTGGTTAAAGCGGCCTACTGCTGCAGAGAAGGGTCAGAGGTTTGAAGCTACGGGCTGCCTGTGGGAGAAAGACGTGGCAGTCTGCTTCCAACACGATGACAGCTTTGGAAACTCAATGCGGCAGGTCCTCTCCTGCCTATGGGGTTACTATGAGTTCCATCAACCAGATGGCAACCGGCTTGGTTCGGGCTAAGTTCCCTGAAGACAGAAACTTTCTGTCTGTCTGTCTGTCTGTATATGTTCCAGTTGATATAGGAGGCCTGGTGGTGTTGTGGTTACGTGTTGGGCTATGATCCGAGAGGTCAGCAGTTCAAAACCACCAGGCGCTCTGCAGGAGAAGGACAGGGCTTTCTATGGCCGTGAAGAGTTACCATCTCACAGGGGTTGTTCTACCCTGCCCTGCGGGGTCACTGTGAGTTGGTGCTGACTCGACGGCAGTGAATTTGGGTCCTTTGGGTTCCAGTTGACAGGTCAGTCATTACCGGACATTCAGAAGAAGCCCTGTAAACATGTATGTGTGTGAATTAGCTGGAAATGGTGAAGCTGACAAGTGAAGAGGGCTCAAAGTCCCTGCAGCTTTTAGTAGGGATGACGCCTCAACACAGACAAAACAAAGATGCTCCCAAGTGGACCAATACCCACATCACACTAAGTGGAGAAAGGACTGAAGCTGTCAGGGGTTTCCTCTTACTTGGATCCACAATCAATGACCATGGAGCAGCAGGCGAGAAATCAAAGGATACGCTCTCTTGGACAAATCTGCTGCATACGTGTTTGGTTTTTTTTTTAATGTTAAAAAAAATGAAAGCTGTTTTGAAAATGATGATGGCAACACATGTACAAAAGTGCTGAACACAATAGATGGATGCCTGGATGGTGATAAGAGCTGTCGGAGCCCCCAATGAGATGATTAAAAACAAGCAAACAAGCAAGCAAACAAACAGCTGAAAATATGAACCCGGAACTAAGAGAGAGCCAATCTTGGAAGAGCACAGATGTGAACAAGAACCGGAAAAAATACGATTCCTTAGACAAGCTTTGCAGTTTGGGTGTCAGCCCGACCTAGGTCCTCACACTGTGCTTGGAAGGAGTCTCCAGACACCAAAACCCAGACTCCCTGTGGGACTGCCCTGATAGGTACAGGACCCCAGCCTCAGGTGCCCACCACGGTGGCTCTTAAAATGCAGCTAATCTGAACTGAGATGTGCTTTTGAGCGTAAAGCACACACTGGATTTTGCAGACTTAAGATGGGGGAGTAGATTTCCTGTTCAGTTTCGTACTTATTTCATGTGGAAATGAAAATTTCTATATCCTTTCTTAAGTAAAATACAGTATTGAAATTTTAAAAAAATCGAAGATGTCACTTTGAGGGCTAAGAAGTGCCTGACAAGCCATGGTCTTTTCAGGCATGTCATGGGGATGGGGGATTGGGTGGGGGGGGGGGCAGTGCGCTGGACAATGACAAAGAAAGGCTAAAGAAGAACTGGGGTCTCTGAATCCCTGTGCTGGCAGAGAACACGGACTAGGACCCATGGACTGGCGGAAGAACACGCTCATCTGTCTTTGGAGAAGCACAGCAAGCACATGCCTTGGCAGCAGAGATGGAGAGACTCGGTCTCATGTACTCTGGACACGTGATCAAGAGGGACCAGTCCCTGGAGGAGAGTGTCAAGCATGCTTGGTAAAGTAGAGGGGCCACCCAAAGAAAAGGCAACCCCTGGACACAATGGCTGCCACCCTGAACTCTCGCATGACAATGGCATCTCGATGGGGTCTCGATGAACCTGAACTGACCCCATGAACCTCTAATGACAGCAGCCCAGCAGAGTCAAAGTCTGAATTCACGAATTTCAGTTTTGTACTACCCTGGATGTCCAGCAGAGGGAGGACGAATCCTCGGCAGAGTCAACCCTGACCATTCTGGCTCTAAGCAAAGGCAACTGTGACAGGTGCAGGGAAGGCTCTCAGGCACCCCGGGTGGGCAGTGTCCTACCTGGAGGCTGGCGCTGGGGGTGCAGGGTGTGGATGTCCATGGGGAAGTGGAGTTTATTACGAATGATTTCCTGGTTCTTGCCGGTGAATTTGTTGGCGCTGTTGATGCTCTTGGTATGCCAGTCTGTCCAGTAGAGGCTGTCTTCAAACACCGTGATGGCAAAGGGATGTGGGAGGCCTGGTGGGAGGGCAGGAAGACTTCAGTCCAGACATGGCCTGCCCCCTCTCGGGCAAGGCTCCTGGGGGCAGAGACGGGATGAGAGAGAGGGGCAGCTGCAGGGCCTCACCTTGGCTAATGACAGCCTTTCGGTGACTCCCGTCCAGGTTGGCCCTCTCGATGACATGGTGTTTGGCATCCACCCAGTACATGCGGTGCCCGGCATAGTCGATGGTGAGGCCGTTGGGCCAGAAGAGGTGGGTGTCGGCAATGATGCGGCGCCCGGAACCGTCCATGCTGGATGCCTCGATGCGAGGGGTGTTGCCCCAGTCGGTCCAGTAGATGGTCCTGGCCGGAGAGAAAGGGAAAACTGAGAGGCTGGCAGGCGGCAGAGGGCAGGCAGGCAGCTGGGTTAGCAATTGGCGGTTCTCAGTTTAATCCCACCAGCCTCCACAGCCAATCAACCCCACTGCCACTGAGTGGACGCTGACTCCCAGTGCCCCTCCGAAGACAGAATAGAATGGACCCCTGGGGTTTCCAAGGTTGCAAACCTTTACAGAAGCAAAGAGACTGCTTCACCTTTCTCCTATGGAGGGGCTTGGGGGGGAACCTCAAAATATTGTCCTTTGGGTTTGCAGTCAACCACTCAAACCACTGTGCCAACAGGGCAACTTTCTGACCAGTCCACAGAGCGCTTTTTAAAAAAACAAAAACAAAAAACATTTGAATTGAGCCATCTTTTAAAAAATGAAAAAAAAACCCAAAACAAACCAAACAATCTCACTGCCATCGAGCGGACGTCCACTTACAACAACCCTATAGGACAGGGTAGAACTGCCCCTTGGGGGTTTTAAGATTGTCACTTTTTATGGGAGTAGAAAGCCCCATCTTTTTCCCTTGGAGTGGCTGGTGGTTTGGAACTGCTGACCTTGAGGTGAGCAGTCCAGTGTACCATCCACCACGCCACCAGGGCTCCTCCTCATTCTAGGAGGTAGGGCGCTTTGTCCAGAGGCAGCAGGAGGGCACGGCTACGCTAACAGGGCTTGCTGAGCCATCTCTGAACAGGGTGTTTATTCACTTAACAACCTTTTTGTTAAATGCACGCCACCTACTATCATCGAGTCCATTTGGACTCACGGTGACCCTGTATAGGGCTTCCACGGCTTTGTAAAGCTTGACGGGAGCAGACAGGCTTCGCCTTCAGAGCAGCGAGTGGGTTTGAACCACTGACCTTGGGGTGAGCAGTCCAACACTTAGCCAAACAGAACCATCAAGGTTCAATGTACTTGCTGTGGGCAAAGTCCCTGGCTGGGCCTCACAGTCCATCACTGAGCTGCGAAGGGAGGGGGCGGAGGTTCGATGCCTCCGGAAGCTTTCCAGAAGAGCTGCTGAAAGCCCTATGAACTCGGCTCTGCTCCAAGGAGGACAGGGTCGCTGTGAGTTGGCACCAGGTGAATGACGGCGGGTACTCTGGGACACCCGCCCTGGGGATGGCTGTGGACAAACGGCCCCACCCTTGGGGAAGGGGCAACCCAGTGTCATATGAGTTAGGACAGGACTTTTCTTCTTTGTTATGTCTCTTTCCATGCCCTATTTCTCTCTCTCTCTCTCTCTCTCACACACACACACACCTACTCACCCAACCACTCTGTGGTGCTACAGCTGACCCAAGACTGCCGGGGTCTCAGAACAGACACTGCCATGCTCTCAGTTGACAGCACTGGATCTTTAAAAGTCAGAGGTTAAGAACTTCCATTTCCGGGGACTTGTTTCCTCTAATTATAAAAGTGACTATTAATTTTTATGAATGAGCTCAACCCTCGCAGCTAAGAATAAAGATAGCTAGATGCCTATAATTTATCTAAAGTGAAGTAGGTGCCCTTTCAAAGGCCTCCTCTCTTTTCATCTTCGCGCAGCGATGAGGGAGGTAGGATTCTTATCACCAACCTCAATGAAGTAAAGGGAGGCCGAGAGACGGTGAACCAGCCCAAGGCCACCGTGCCAGTTAATGCAGAGCCAGGTGTGCCAAGGCGCAGAGACCATGACCTTGACCCCACACCGTGAGAGATTTCCCAGTCAAGCCTGTTCCTGAGACTGCAGGAGAGGTTCGGGAGACAGAGGTGTCACTCACCCCTCCATGGGGTGCAAGGCGATGGCCCTCGGCTTCTCCAAGTTCTGCCACAGCAGCACCTTCCGGTGCGTTCCATCCAGGTTGGCCACCTCAATCCTGGAGGTCCCCGAGTCGGTCCAGTAGAGTTTGTCATGAACCCAGTCCACGGCCAGGCCCCCTGGTGGAAAGAGGCCACAGAGAGGTGTCAGGGATGCCGTGCAGGCTCCTCAGTGCCCTGACACCAAGAGCAAACTCTCAGATGGAGTCTTTCCATGGAATGGGCTGGGCACGGATCTAACCATGTTCCACGCCCTAACTCATTTATTTCCACAGCAACTCTGTGAACTCCAGAGTGGGGTCCCCATGAAGAGGAGAGTCTAGGGGAGTCAGAGAACTAGCCAAGTTCAACCGGTCCCTCCTTGTAGCGACCACACCCCTGCTTTTCAGACTGACCCACAGGGACCTTCAATGCCTGGTGTGTGTGGGGCTTATCAATTATGCCCCAGGGCTCTGCAGAGGCCCAGGAGAAGTTCCGGAAGCTGGAGATTCAAATGCACCCCGTTCCAAATGCGACTCGACTTTGCCTGCTTATGAGAAGGATGGCTCGAGACTGTGCAAAGTGCTGGCTGCTGGTGGTGTTTGCTTGTTTGTTTAAATCTATCACCATATGAATACGTGTGGCAGCACTGGGGGTTAGGGATGGGGAAGGGGCTGCATGGTGAAGAGCTTGCCTGCAAGCCCCAGAGTTCAAACCCAAAGAAAGGCCTGGTAAAGGGCTTCCAAAGGTCACCGCTCTGAAAACACAATGGGGCACTTCTCCTCTGCCCACCCCAGGACGCCAACTGGACCACCACAGCGAACATCTTGACCAAGAAGAACAGCTTCGATCCTGAACGATCCAAGCAAACTCCAGAAATGAGCTGGACCAAACGGGAGGGCTGATGGAAAACTGTCACGCTCATCCATAAAGACCTGAGTCCAGGTGCGATGTAGCAACGTAGCAACGAAGAAAAATACAACTTTCCTCTAGTTCCTAAATGTTTCCTCCCCACTCCCACTATCATGATACAAATTCTACCTTGCAAGTCTGGCTAGACCAGAGGATGTACACTGGTACAGATAGGAACTGGAAATGCAGGGAATCCAGGGCGGATAATCCCTTCAGGACCAGTGGTGTGAGTGGCGATACTGGGAGGGTAGAGGCAGAGTGGGTAGGAAAGAGGGAACCGATTACAAGGAACTATATGTGACCTCCTCCCTGGGGGACGGACAACCGAAAAGTGGGTGAAGGGAGACATCGGACAGGGCAAGATATAACAAAATAATAATTTATAAATTATCAAGGGCTCATGAGGGAGGGGGGATCAGGGAGGGAGGAAAAATGAGGCCCTAATGCCGGGGGTTTAAGTGGAGAGGAAATATTTTGAGAATGATGAGGGCAATGAATGTACAAATGCGCTTTACACAATTGATGTGTGTATGGATTGTGATAAGAGTTGTATGAGCCCCTAATAAAATGATTAAAAAAAAAAAAAAGAAGAGTTGTATGAGTCCCTAATAAAATGATTAAAAAAAACCAAAAACCTGACTCCAAGTGACCACACACATCGACACTATCTCGCGTTGTTGGCAAGGCTCAACCAGGGAGCTCGTGTGATCAAGCCAAACCTATGAAATCAAGGGAGTCCAGCAAATGCCGACATTCCCCCCGAGATTTCACTGGAAGCAATGACGGCACAAACCCTGCTGCCCCCCACCCCCCAGGTTTGAAGACCACTAGCCAGTTCCCGTTACCGCTGACCCAGGGGACCCGGCCCCTACCTGGGCTCTCTAGTCCAGTAGATACCACCTCCTCCACGTTGCTGCCATTGAGGTTTGCCCGGAGGATCCGGTCCAGGGTGACGTCGGACCAGAAGACCAGCTCACGCCGGTGATGGAAGTCCAGGGCGATGGCGTTCTCCAGGTTGTTGAGCAGGAGCGTGTACTCGGAGCGGTGCGGTAGCACCTGCCGGATGTCGATGCGATTGGCGAACAGTAGCACAGGCTCCGGCCCTAGGACACACAGCACACAAATGTGGCCCCACTGGGCTCCAGAGCTTCCCCTGGTGCCCATCAGCACGCACCCCCAGCTCCTGTGGCCCCTAGGGCTTGCCCCCAAGCACACAGCCAGTGGAGTGGCGGACTCAGGACTATACTGCCCCTTCCCCAGGGTCTCTCGGGTCCCAGAATGCAACCCGCTGCTCTTTCACTGAGACGGACATAGTGCTCAGGAATCCCTGAGGTCCAGAGCTCCCGGACCCAGCCCTCCACCCCGCAGTCCGACACCAGCACCCCGCCTTACCCAGAGCCTTGCAGCTGCGCCGGTCAGGCCGGAGCTCGTAGCCTGGTTCACACCAGCACTGGAAAGCCCCCTCACTGTTGGTGCAGCCCTGGCTGCAGTACCCCTCCTCTGCACACTCGTTCACATCTAAGAGGACCGGGCAGAGTCAGACCTCCTCTTCTGCCACCCTCCCACTCCACACACACACACCCTCACCTCCCAGGCTGACTGGCTGCCCTCCTGCCCACAGATCTCTCTGCTTTCCAGGCCTCGCAGGAAGGTTAGGGTAACAAGTGCTGAAGGCTTTGGTGGAACCCCAACTCTGCTCTCCGCCAGCTGTGTGGCCTTCTGTAAGTTACTTAACCTCTCTGTGCTTCGAGTATCCCGACTGTCAGACGTAAGAGAGCGTCCTTACCTCTTAGGGTTACCGTGTGACAATATGGGAGGTCACATCTGTCTGTGGGCCCGACCCACAACCAACCCAGCTGCCTGTCTGCTCCCTGCCCAGCTTCCTGGCTCTGGTTCCACCCAGGCCCCAGCTCACCCTGGCACGTGTGCCCATCATCGGCTAGCCGGTAGCCTGTGTGGCAGGTACACTGCACGGCCCCCCGCACCATCTGGCACTTCTGGGTGCAGCCACCGTTGTTCACATTGCAGCTTTCCTCGCCCGTCCGGGGCCCTGTGCCAAGCAAGCCAGAGATGGGAGTGAGCCCAGAGTCCTCCTCCAGACAGCCAACGTGGCCTTCCACCTGGACCACAAAGAGCGGCTCCCGGGGTGGCTGGGATGCGAGGGGAGGATCCCTTTTGAGCGCTCTGGGTGGGGGTGCGGCTGCCCGAGCGCCCCCGAGGACACTCACGGCAGTTCTGCTGTGGGCTTTCGTCACTGTTATCGCCACAGTCATTGACCCCGTTGCACAGCTTCCTCTGCCCAATGCAGCGGCTGTTCCAACACAGGAACTGGTCCGAGGCACACTGCGGGCTTCCTAGAAAGGAGGGAGGGAGGGAGGGTCACTCCCAGCTGGGCTGCACAGGACAGGAGCAGGCCGGTCACTTCCTAGGCCGGGCTGGAGACAGAGGCCACTCCAGGTGGGAGGGTCAGGGTGCGAGGCTGGAAACCACTCAGGTGGGACCAGCTGACTGTCTCCCTTTGTTTGCCCCCCAGGACATGAGGAGGGGGTGATGGAGAAAGGGCAGCTCCATGCCTGACACTTGGGGGAGCTGCGGAGGTGGGGGTGAGGTGACACGGAACTGGCAGCCACGGATCTCTAGGCCCTAAGGCTGCAGGTCAACAGGGGCACTTGGGCTTGACCCTGGTCCTTAGGAAGGGCGGGAAAGCTGGGGAACAAGGACCATGTGGAATGGGGCATCGCCTCTGAGCAGCTAGATGAGCAACAGCCACCCAACCGCAAGGGGCAGCACAGGGAGCTGCAGGACACCCCACCTGGGTCCTCACAGTTCTCCTCGTCACTGCCGTCAGCACAGTCGTCCTCGCCGTCACAGCGCCATGACAGGCGGACGCAGCGGCCTGACCGGCAGCGGAACTGTTCGGCCGTACACACGGAGGTGGCTGGGCAAAGCAAGAGCCCGGTGAAGGGCTGCCCCACCTCTGCCCGAAACCCCACCCTGAGAGTCACAGCTGGGCCCCAGGCCCACCACCCTCCCTGCCAACCCCTTTGTGTGAGTCAGAACCAGGAGCCCCTTCCTCAAGACCTAGGGGCCCCAGTGCCATTGTGATTATGCGTTGGACCGTGCGACCCACAAGGTCAGCAGTTCAAAACCACAGGCCAATCCTCAAGACAAAGCCAGGGCTTTCTCTACCCGGGGAGAGTGACAGTCTCGTGAACTCCCAGGGGCGGTTCTAGCCTATTCTATGGGGTCGCCACGAGGCAGCATCGACGCAAGTCAACTCAGCGAGCTTGGTTTTTTGGGGTTTTTTCCCCATGATGTGGAACCCCAGTGGCTTAGTTAGGGGGGGTCCCGTGCTGGGCTGCTGACCACCAGGTCACCAGATGCTCTGCAGGAGAAAGATGAGGCTCTCTGCTCCCCTAAAGATCGACCAGCCTCGGGAGCCCAAGGGGCAGTTCTCCTCTGACTCCGTCCTAAGTGTCCCTATGAGTCAAACTGGACTCGATGGCGATGAGCTTGTTTTGTTTGTCCCACAAGGCCCTTTTGGAACTTCTGGGTCGCGCCAACAGTTACGTTGCGTGGCCACTGACCAAAGACCGGTGGGTCTTATCCACTCAGAGGTGCCATGGGCTACAGGGCTGCCAACCAACTTCCGAAAGACTACAGCCACTGGAAAGCCTGTGGATGGATCCCAGTTCCACTCTGACCCTCATGGGGTGCCTCAAGTGGGAATCAACATGGAGGTGACTGGTTTGGCCTCCCACGCCCCCCCCC